GTGCCCAAAATATTCCAATGGATACCGGTCAAACTGTTGCAACAATTTTAATCCTTAGATTAGTGGATTTTTTATGAGCAATATATCTAATCTTAACATATTAATGAGCTCTCTTATATCGTAGGAACTATTTTTTTTGGATATTATCTAGTTTTCTCACATCCGGTTTATATGAGCGTGCATATCTGCTTGTATATTTGCATGCATATTTGTATTCGTATCCGATTTTAGATGTCATGAATATGAATTTTTCTTACCGAGATATATCTGTATCCATGATTGGTATGTGCATGCGAATATGATGAGTATCGCGTCCGAGCCATATCCGGACCTGTTGATGCTAATATCACATGACCAATTGGATCCAGGCTGGGATTGGTTCTGGTCCGGAACTGGATCGGTCCCCCTTGAGTCCTCACCGGGACGTGGTAGGGGAGAGTGATGGATGTGCCGCTTCCTTCTTCGACTTTATGCTTAGTTCTTGAACGGAGGATTGATGTCCATGCTGCACATACAAGAAGAACCTGTGAGAGGACGGAGACCGGTTTCCCCGTGGTTCCTCCGATGGTCAAGTTAGTGAAACTCAAGTGGGGAAGGGGAAGGTCAGGAACCAACGTGGTTCTTGAAGTGGCAATGTCTCTGCCCAGAGGATCTACGTGAGCTCCTCTGTCTAGACGAATAACTGTGTGTTCTTGTTTGGAATGTTGGCTAAAGTGAGTTAGTTATAATGTGTCGACCCGTACTGTGGACTTATGACAACTAGTTCACCTGATGCCTTAGTTTGGTTGAGCGTTTAATTGACCAGAACTTGACAGATGACTATTTAAGTTTTTAGATCAATTAAGTATTGGTCATATACTTAATATTCATACATTAGGCTTATGAATACCTTTTTTGGCAGAATGGCAACCCTGAGGTTGGGTGCCTAGATCTTACATAGGTGCCTAGGTCTTCATAATCATCGTATGGTCGAATGGTGGCTGTAGGAGTCGACCATAGGGTTGTGCCTTGGGTTTATTCTTGATAAGGTACCAAGGGCTTGAAAATCCGACTCAGAAGTCGAACGCCTAGGCTCGAGAGAGTCGACTAGGTTTTTCCCTCCCCTAAGGTCGAGAGACGACTGTGGGAGTCGGTTAGAGGGTTGTGCCTTTGGGTTTATTCCTGATAAGGTACCAGGGGCTTGAAAATCTAACTCGGAAGTTGAACGCCTAGGCTCGAGAGAGTCGACTAGGTCTTTCCTTCCCCTAAGGCTGAGAGACGACTGTGGGAGTCGGTCAAAGGGTTGTGCCTTGGGTTTATTCCTAATAAGGTACTAAGGGCTTAAAAATCCAACTCGAAAGTCGAACACCTAAGCTCGAGAGAGTCGACTAGGTCTTTTCTTCCCCTAAGGCCGAGAGACGACTGTGGAAGTCGGTCATAGGGTTGTGCCTTGGGTTTATTCCTGATAAGGTACCAAGGGCTTGAAAATCCAACTCGGAAGTTGAACGCCTAGGCTCGAGAGAGTCGACTAGATCTTTCCTTCCCCTAAGACCGAGAAACGACTGTGGGAGTCGGCCAAAGAGTTGTGCCTTGGGTTTATTCCTGATAAGGTACCAAGGGCTTAAAAATCCAACTCGGAAGTTGAACGCCTAGGCTCGAGAGAATCGATTAGGTCTTTCCTTCCCCTAAGACCGAGAAACGATTATGAGAGTTGGCCAAAGAGTTGTGCATTGGGTTTATTTCTGATAAGGTACCAAGGACTTGTTGAGAGTGCCTAGGTCTTCAGCCATAGTGAAGCCTTGATCCATGATCATGAAAAATGTCCATTGTAAGCATCTGGTGCTCAAAGGGGGTTGGATCACTTGTGATCTTGCTTTGTCTCTGTTTCAAAGGCAGTTTTGTAACGAATGAGGTTACCAGTATGGAACCTTTTTAGTTGGATTTTGCTTGCTTCTCCCTTTTTTTTATACAGCAGACTGCTCAATGATGGGTGAAGATGAGTCAAAACTCTATTTGCCATCTCATCAGCCAAGGTTCCTTTTGAGTCTGAATTTTCGGTAAGGCCTTAGAGGCGGATGGTTGGCGTGTCAGCTTTTAACAAAAGGAACTGCCCAGACGCCACGAATCATGTTGAGTGGTGTTTTCCAAGTCGGGTTTGCAAAGATTTGGGGTACGACCAGAAGCTACATGGTACCTTTTGTGATAGAAATTCTTTTGGAGAGAGAATCTATCAGTCGGTATTGTACTCACTAAAAATGACAAATCGTAGCGGTTTCCTCGAATGAGCTTCGGGAGCACTGGGGGCTGGACCATGCTATGAATGGAGAGTTCTCCCTTTATGGGGATCATGCAGGTCACATGCTTCGACCACCAGAGCTTAGGCGACTTTAGTGATGCATGCGTCAATTGAAGGGACAATGTCATTCTTCTTGAGAAGACAATCAGCTGACAGGCCCAAAGCTTTTCCCACAATCTCATCCCTGATATATAAGAGTTCCCTTCAAAAAGTCCTCGTGGTCCAGGGCGCCTATCACAGATTTAATCATTGCTCCTATGCTCATATGAACTAGTGCCAGTTGGAGCTTAAGTGATATTTGGCCTGATCAGATCCTATGTTCTGGCCAAAGTTATTCTGTGATGGCGATTAGAAGCCAGTGTTGCTTTTCAAGAAAGACAACCACCCTTATGGTTTGTCTTCTTCTGGAAGGTTTTTAGAGGGGCTGAATGTCATTCTACCATCTAGCAGATGGTGTGCTTGGCAAATGCTCCCCAAATAAGTCGCTAAGGCCCTCGATGACTACACCTATGTTGGTTCCTCTTAGATAAATCTAACCCTCCTTAGCTTGAATGATACAACTCCTGACTTCATTTAGCTTGGACGATGCAACTTCGATACTGTTCTTCCAGGTGGGTAGAATCGGACCCTTATTCAGAACTTGGCATGTCTTCTCGAAAAAGAAAAGGGGTCCCCACGGTGGGCGTCAAACTGTTGATGCTAAATATATATCACACATCCAACTGGATCCAGGCTGGGATTGGTTCTGGTCCGGAACTGGATCGGTCCCCCTTGAGTCCTCACTAGGACCTGGTAGGAGAGAGTGATGGAGGGGTCGCTTCCTTCTTCGACTTTATGCCTAGTTCTTGAACGAGGGATTGATGTCCATGCTGCATAGATAAGAATAACCCGTGAGAGGACGGGGACCGATTCCCCCATGATTCCTCCGACGGTCAAGTTAGTGAAATTCGAGTGGGGAAGGGGAAGGTCAGGAACCAACGTGGCTCTTGAAGTGGCAATTTCTCTGTCCAGAGGATCTACATGAGCTCCTTTGTCTAGACGAAGAACTGTGTATTCTTATTTTTGTGCGATGTATGCTTTAGGGGGTGTTTAGATTACGAACCTGGCGCTATGGTGAATAGCATCTGTATATAAAGAGGATGTCAATGGCAGATTAGTCACTTCGGCCATGCAAATGGCGGCGACCAAGTGTGAGATGGAAGGTAAGTCACTCTTTGCTCTACATGTGTCGACTGGGGACTAGAAGGGAAGCCACTTCGTCATGGGAGAGGGTGTCTCTGTATTTTCCAGAAAGTAATTGGTAGCGTGGCAGAAGGCACGTGGGCATGTTGAATCATCCCTCGCTTTACAGGTGTCGACTGGCTACTGGAGGGGAAGTCACTTCGGTATGGAAGAGGGTGTCTCCGTATTTTTCGTGAAGTGATTGACAAGTCATGGAGGCACGTGGGCAGCTGACAAGTCATGGAGACCATTAGGCTAAAATCTGGATAATGTTTGTCCGATGTGGACTAAAATGTTAACATATGCTATGGGGGAGAGGCTTGAGGCTGGGGTCGAGTCCTCAACTTAGCCGACAGCAGGGAATGCCCCTCAAATCATCTTCGAGAATTACTCAGTGAATGATCGAGTGCCCTAAGTGGGTCGTTCTTGGCGATAGGATCGACTGATCCCGTTTTTTGTGTCGGCATGAAAGAAGATTGACTTGATGAGTCGGCGGGGTCGAGGTCTCTGTTGGGCTTGGGCCACTTAAGTAGGAGTGATGTTATTTTGCTAGGACTCTTATTGTATCATTTTGCAAATATCTGTATTTTGAGTGAGTGAACACCATAACAAGACCGAATGCACCCCTACTTGAAAACAGTCTTCTCCTCCTAAAAAATCATATAGAAAAAGAGCGCTGCTTAGATTATCAGAGCGAGTTGATTATCAGTGTGAGTCAAGATATATTTTTTATTGTTTAAAAACGTGAAACTATGGAATGGATAAGCTTTGTTTGACGTAAAAGAGATGAGAACTCTCTATTCAAAAACAAATATAATGCGGGCCGCTAAAACTGTCGTGACCTGCATGGTTTTGGGCTCAAGCCTGTCCAAGGTATCCAACCCAATGAGTTGAAACAAAAGAGCCGCTCAAGGATGTAACAACAACTAGATTCTGTCATAACCAAAAGACTGAAATTGAAACATTTTGATTTATAAAAATTGTAATTTATTTACTAAATTGTTATTTCACATTTTGTTACCAATTTACACTACACATATTTGTACTTATACCATGTGATGATATTTATTGGAGGAAATTTATAAAATAGACCTATTTTGCTAAATATTTAGCAAAACAGATCGTTTTGCTAAATATTTAGCAAAATAGACATCTTTTTGGCCAACAGGCCAACAAAAGGTTGATTTTACAAAACAGACCATTCGAAACATACGTCGAAACATACGGGACTAGTAGTCCTGTATGATTTAGCAAAACGGTCTGTTTTGCTAAATATTTAGTAAAATAGGTCTATTTTACAAATTTCTTCTATTTATTCACTATCAACAGCCACCACGGGCTTTTACTCAGGCCCGTATGAACTGGGCCTACGTACTAATGAGCAGGAAATAAAACGACCCGGCTCCTATCAAAACAATCTCGCCCGTCCAAATAAAATCAACTAATATCAACCGTCGGATCTAGGGCTAGGTTTATTAAAGGAGAAGCCTTTTATATGCCCAAGCTCTCGCTTCCGCCCTCTTCTTCCCTGAATTTTCTTGGAGAGAGAGAGAGAGAGAAAGCGATTAAAAAAATGGTTCAGAGGTTGACCTATCGCAAGAGGCACAGCTATGCCACGAAATCGAACCAGACCCGTGTCGTCAAAACCCCTGGTAACCATCTCTCTCTCGAGATCTCTCTCATTCTAGGGTTTTAGGCTGATTTGGGGTCGGAACTAGGGTTTAGTACGAAAAGATGACTGCTTGGTGTTTGCTTTAAGTTTTTTTTTTTTTGAAAAAAATAATTTTACGATGGGTGATGCTATGCCGTAGCTTTAACTTCTCTGAAATGTAGTTTTATCAATTTTGATGATCTCGGGGTGTGTTGTGTTAATGCTGATGAACCCTGGTCTACTTTTAACATTAACTGTGATTTTTAGTTAATTTTAGATGGAAAGTTAATGCCCAAGTGAAGTTTACTTAGCAGTTCTTGTTAAAAATGTGCTTTTGTCCAAATTGATTTATTCATAAATGAAACCATAGTTTTCAATTTTATTGGATGTATGAAGTCGTCAATTGTTTTAAGTTTTTTGTGCTTGTTCTTGTCAACCAAAATGGAGTAATTGGAATACTGTAGAAACTAATGTAAGGATAATGTAGCTTAATTAACATGTCCTGTCTTTGCTGTTTCTGAACTTGTCTGTGATTCCTAATATGATGGCCTGTATCTTGTTGTAGGTGGGAAACTTACCTACCAGACTGCCAAGAAGAGGGCGAAAGGACCAAGGTGCCCTGTGACTGGAAAGAGAATCCAAGGGGTATGTGATGCTATCCTTCCCATACTATGTTTCTCTTTTTATCTTTTGATGTATGGTTGAAACATCTTTATTTATATCATCGTTTACTTCGTCGCTGGATCTTAGATGTTTCTTTTAAGTTGCTTTTCCGTTGCGAATTCATGATTAGTGGCCGTTATCATTTTAATAGAACTGTCTACCATCATGATTAGCTTGTTGGAACTCTTAATGCGTTTCAACATTGCTTATTGGTTTCTGAGTGTTATACGCGTGAGTGTGTATTATCATAGAGTTTTCTTCATCTTTATAGCTTATCTATTTATGTGAATACAAGCACAATCTGAAGAATGGGTAAGTTTTACTATCAAAATACCCTTGAAAATAGAAGAAGTGAAGCAAGTGGGTTTTTAATCCCCCCCCCCCAAAAAAAAAAAAAACAA